GCGCCAGGCCCCGAGGGAATGGCCTCAAGCTGCCCAGGGCAGGGTCAGGCTGGCTCTGAGGAAGGATTTCTGTGCAGAAGGGGCTGTTGGGCGTTGGAATGGGCTGCCCAGGGCAGGGGGGAGTCCCCGGGATCCCTGGGGGGGTTGAAGAGTCGGGCTGAGCCAGCGCTGAGGGATCTGGGGGAGTTGGGAACGGTCAGGGGGAGGGTCATGGTGGGGCTGGAGGAGCTGCAGGGGCTTTTCCAGCTGAGATAATTCTGGGATTCTGTGAATGTCTGTGTGGGGGTGGATGGGGCGATGGTGGGGCTGTTCACACCCGTGTGACGGCTGCGCTGCCTCTTCCACGCACCGTCCGTCAGAGCAGCGGCTGCGCAGAACAGGCGCTGGGTGCAGGGAGGGTTTTGGGACATCGTGTAGGAGACAGCTTGTCCCACTAAGGACCCACGGACGGGGACTGTTCGCTTTTGTGCAGGAGAATTATCCAAGCAGTGGGAGGCATCTGCTTTTGGTAGTATTTTCATGAGAGTCAGACTAACCAGGACTAACGCTGGAGCAGCTCCAACTGCCCAGAAAAGCAGTTTATCAGATTCTGCTCTTTGCAGAGGAATTCTATCCCAGACACATTTGTTGAACAAATCCTTTTTCACTCTCTAATGTGTCTGTGGCAGTGATTGAAATGCACGTAATGGGCAAAGCACACACAGCTGCTCCCTGGTAAATTAGAAGGCGAGGGGCTGAACGCAGCCTCATTGAGCAGCATTCATCGGCCTGGACATCGCTCAGCATCGCGGAGCAGCCAGGCCTGGGCACCGTCTCATGCACCAGCTCCTGCTGAGGGAGCTCTGGGGACCAAGCGGGGTCCCGCCGGGCCCTTCCCCGGGGCCACGGTGCTGCCAGGGCCAAGGACGGCGTCAACCCGTCGCGTCCTGCGTTGGCATCCGGGTGCTGCCAGGGCCCAGGGCTCCCCGGAGCTCAGCCACCCGGCAGAGCCCCCGCCGCGTTGCGCCGCTTCCTGCGCGCAGGAGAGGAGGAGCCGGTTATCCGGAGCCATGGTCATTCAGCGGCGCATCCTCCGGCTGTTGGCACAGCCCGGCTGGGTTTCACCATTTCACCGGCCCTGGCGATTGCGTGTGTTCGTTAACCAGGATGAGCCTGGGAGCTTTGCGACACCGAAATGGCGGGCGTATTTCGAGTAGACACAAAATGGTCTGATGAGGCTTATCCATAACATCCCGCCGGCTCCCGGATTATAAAATGTTTGGGGAACTGTCAGAATAAACCTTGCTGTATAAAAGCCGGGGATTATTATAACTGCCTCTTGGTCCGGCATGTGCCTCTTGTTTGGTGGAAGAGAACTGAGATGGATGAGGAGGCAGCAGGAGCTGCACGGAGCAAAGCCGGGGATGCTCTCGAGGAAAAGGCACCTTCCCCTTCCCGGGACTGTCCCCAGGTGCTTCCCCGGCTGCCCCCAGCCCCCCCCATGGGCAGTCACGGGTGCGAGGGGACGGGGAGGCGGCACGGTGCAGCTGGGGATCGCTGTGGTGTGGGTGAGATACGACCGGAGCCTCGAAAGCAGCTCTTCAATGAAATCCCAGCTTTGTAACTTAAAAAGCACCAGGCTGCAGTGGTGGGAGGAGGCGGCGGCTGCTGCACCTGCTGCTTCCAGCTACGGTTCAAAATCCATCCTCTGCGGCGCTGGACAGACCCTGAGCTGCGGGAAAATGATGCTGAACGGTGGCCAAGATCGAGTCTGGGGGGATGGCAGCACTAGCAGCAAATCTGCTGCGCTGCAGTGCCGCTATAAATGCTCTCTGATTTACAGTGGACAGCGTGCTTCAGAGCAGTTTATAAAAAAAAAAAAAAAAAAAAAAAAAAAAAAAAAAAGAAGCCAACCCAGAAAACTAATTAAGGAAATGGAGATGCCAACGATTTCTGTTTCCAGCAAATGCCAGCCGGCTCTAAACCAGGTTACAAGGTCAAATCTGCACAATTAATTTTATCCAGTGAACAGAAAATAGGAGAGCAGGTTTGAAACAAGAGGAGCCGCGGAAAACAGACCAAATGGAAAACGCTCTCACACTTCAATTAGCCTGAAATCAAGCGCTGAAACCATGTGCCTGTTTACTTGGTGTTCTCTAATTCTTTTATTCCCGTAACCATGGTTGCTTTCAGCTTGAGGGGGGAACGTACAAAGGTTGGTTTTTTTTTTTTTAAGGTGCTTCCTACTTCCCTTCTTTAAAAGGCCTCAGAGTGACGTAGGGACACCCCCCTGCCCGGGGATGAGCCCCCAGATTCCCTCAGCAGTTGTTTTCCGCCGGCGCTGCTGGGGGTTCACGCCCCAGAGGTTTCTGCCTCCCGCTCCGAAGGCGGCAGCATCGGTTCCGTCCCTCCGCGGCCAACAGCGGCTCCAGACGCTTTGCAGTCGAGATGTGTAAATAACCCCTAACGAAGCTTTCCCCAGCAGATCACATTTTTTTCCCTCTCCCCTTTGGGCTGACTTTCTCCTGACTTTGTCACTCTTTTCCCCAAAGGGGCAGAGGGTATTTTCTGGCTTTTTTTTTTTTTTTCTTTTTTCTTTTGCACAACGACTTTTGTATTTTCTGCCCCAGCTCTTGGCACAGACACTAGACCCACATCTTCTGGGTCTGCCCCGCTCTGACCACCTGCCTCGGGCAGGGTGGCTTCCCGGGGGGGGTGACAGTGCCCTGTGGCCATGAGGACGGGGTGCCATGGCTTTGGGGACCCACAGTGCCCACCTGTGCCCCCGCTGGCCGCAGGGATGGCTCGCTGGGCTGATGGAGACCAGGGCTGGGCTCATGTTTTCAGAGGAACAGCTTTCTGGTGGGGAAAAAATGTGGTGTTTTGGTGGAATCTGCCAGTTTTGATGTTTACATTATTTATTTTCTCCCTTTTATTTAACTCCTAAATGATTTTTTATTTGATAAAGAGGGAAAACTGTAGTATTTATACATAGATATTTAGTATCTCCTCGCATCATGACTTCAGCACTACCAAAACTATTCTATCCCCCCGTTTTGTGGGGATCGCTTTGGGGTGGGACGGGAAGGTCCGACGGAGGTTTTGGGGGGTGGATCTGGCCGGCGGGACTCGGAACACCCCCTTTTTCTTTTCCCCAGATCGGCCACCGCGACTTCGATGTGGAGAAGCGGCTGCGGCGGGACCTGCGGCGGACGCGGGCCCTGCTCGCCGACGTGCGGCTGCTGCGGGCG